AGAATATGCAGGGTTGGTTAAATTCCAGTCAGAAATGTCAGTTCAGAAGGTTATTGTGATTGTAATTGAGGATTCCAAAGGGATAATCTTGATAGATTTCCTTAAAGAATACAGGTAGATCAGTGAGGGAATTACTTAGAAAAACTTTTAAGGGAACTGAAAATTGCATTGGTGAGGAAAAGGCCAAGGTAACTACCATGAAGAGCCCCCCCGCCCCCGCAAAGCATTTGCTCATTCTTTGAACGTAGTGCTAACTGCCCTATGATAATTGCATTGGGACACACCTGCCCTACCCACTCTACAGTCCAGATCCTACCCCTTCATGCATGCTTCTCTTTGTTCTCAAATCTCAAAGAATGTTTGAAAGTAATATGACGTGACTTACTTTATTTTTGTGTGCCATGGAGATGGTTCCAATTCATAGTGATCTTTTATAGTGTTTCTGAGGTTGTAATCTTTACAGGTGTGATGCTGTAGGATCAGCACTGGACTTTGAACCACAAAGTTGGCAGTTCAAACCCACTAGCTGCTCCTTGGAAACCCTGTACAGGATTGCTATGAGTCACAAACAACTTGACGGCATTTAACAAAAATGACAACAATTGTTACAGTGTGGCTGGTGGAGTGTAATCCACTACACCACCAGGATTGAGTTACTCTGTTGTTGTTGTTGTTGTTGTTGTTAGGTGCCATCAAGTGGGTACCGACTCATAGCAACCCTATGTACAACAAAACAAAACACTGTCTGGTCCTGGGCTAACCTCATAATTTTTGCTACTTGAGCCCATTGATGCTGCTACTTTGAGTTTCTCTAGCATGTCAAAAGTATCATTTTGATGTGGTGTAAATGGAGTCCTGGTGTGGCTTTGTGGTTTAGTACATGACCCTGTAAAGTCAGTTAGAACCCATGAGGTCGGCAGTTCAAGCTCAAAAGCAGCTCCCGTATGGGTCAGAACTGACTCCATGCCACTTAACAACTACAAAAAATGGAAGTTCAAATAATTTTTCAGGAAAGAGAAAGATGTAAACACCACCTTCAGAAGTGTACAGACCTAGATGGAGGATATGTTGAGAGACAATAGCTTCACATTTTGATATGTTTGTTTAATAAAGGTTCCTATGATTTTGTAATTCTCCTTGTATATTTTCTTGTGCTTCTTTCCCTCTCCTACAAATCTCATGCATTACCATGGCAAGGTTCAGACTACCTACCTGGTCAAGAAGACTGAGATTCTGGGACAGCAGGCATGGCCACAGGAGATATGGCCGAAGCAGGCTCAGCGATCATAGGCTCATCTACTACAGGCTTGGCTGCAGAAGGGTGAATGGAAGGAGGCTGGGCTGCAGATACTTCAGGATTACTTGAGGGAGGAAGAGAGGAGGAAGAAGCAGCAAGAGGTGGAGGTGGTGGACGGACAAACCAAGGAGCTGGGGGATAATTAGGGTTGGGATAGAAAGCAGGGGCACCAGGAGCAGTGAGAACCCAAGGGTATGGAGGGATCTGTGCACCAGGCTTAACAAAGTCAGGGTAACTGGGGAAGTTATTCTGTGGGGGATAGTAAGGAGGAGGGAAATAATTGGTTGGTGGCTGATAGAGATTATTCAGAGAAGGATTAAGTGGGTAAGGATGGTAACCATTGTAATCCTAAAGGAGACACAAAGAACTCAATTAAAGTTGATTATGTTTAGTCTAATTATATGTTACTCATGCTATTACTGTGATTATGTACAGTAAATGATGGCAATATACAAAAGAGCTTTAAAAAAATTCATGGAAAATTTCCATTATTTTAAAATTCCATATGGGGTCCCCATGTGTTGGAATAAACAACATGCCTATAAAATCAGTTTTGTTTGTTTGTTTTAAACAAGTTTTGTTCTGTTAGAGCCTATGACTCATGCTTCCGAACTGAAATGTTGGAGGGCTCAGTTCACCCAGAGAAGTCTAGGAAGAAGAGCTTGGTAATCTACTTCTGAAAAACCAACCACTGAGAATACTATGAACAGTATTACTCTGAAACACTTGGGGTCGCATGTATCAAAAACATTGATGGCAACTTTATTATTCTTATTCTCCTATGTTTCCCAGCTAGTCTGTTGGTGAAGTGATTTTTTTCATATGTGTTCTAGATTTATTTATCAATTGTTGTTTTTAAGTGGTATGAGTCGGTTCTGACTTCTGCAACTCTGTACAGAATATGTTGTTATTGTTATGTGCAGTGGAATTGATCCTGACTCAGTCCCTGTACAGGGTTTCCAAGGAGCAGCAGGTGAGTTTGAATTACTGACCTTGTGGTTTGAAGTCCAGTGCTGATCCTACAGTGCCACACCAGGAAACTGTATAGGGTATTTTTGTGGCTTGTTGTTAGATGCCATTAAGTCAGTAC